AATTATTTTCAAGGAGGCAAATAGTGGGGCAGTTTGTGTGCGAAACAAGAATTGACTTTATTTTATGTACGAGAAATGTGGAGAATTTTATAGAAAAGATTAAGTATGAAGAAACCAGTTTTAGCGATCACAAGTTTTTATTTTTTAAAGTAGACTGGAGTAAAGTGCAAAGAGGGCCGGGAGTCTGGATTTTAAATACAGAGGTTTTGAAGAATGAAGATTATGTTTTAAGTATAAAGGAGATCATTGAAAAGGAAAAAGGAAATGAAATGTATAATGAGGATAAGCGAATATGGTGGGAGAACGTGAAATATCTGGTAAAAAGGTTTACAATAACGTATTGCAAGTTAATTAATAAATGTAAGAAAAATAAGGAAAGAGAGCTAAGACAAAACTTAAATAAGGAACTGGATAAGGCAGAAAAAAGCATAGAGAAAATAAAAGAAATAGAAGGTAGGCTGAAGGAAATGGAAGAGGAGAAGTATGAAGCTGCAAGATTAAGAAGCAAAGCAAAATATACAGTGGAGGGGGAGAAGTGTACAAAGTTTTTCTTTGATCTAGAGAAAAGCAGAGGAAAAGCAGAAATGATTAAAGAAATAAGGGGCAAAAATGGGTAATATTAGGAGAAAATGAGGACATTTTGAAAGAAATAAAATCATACTATGAGAACTTATTCTGTACAGAGGGGGTAAAAGAAGGAGAAAAAGTGGAATTACTGAAGCAAATAAAAGCAAGGGTAGGAGAAGTGGATAAAAAAGAGTGTGGTGATGAAGTAAGAGAAGAAGAAATAAAAAGAGCAATGAGTGGATTAAACAAAAGAAAAAGTCCGGGGATTGATGGTTTGGGGAGTGAGTTTTACATTGTTTTTAAAGATTTTTTAACCAGTATCTTAAAAGAAGTATTTGATGAGATTTTTAGGAAAGGTGAGATGAACCAAAGGATGGGAATGGGATTAATGAAGCTGATATATAAAAGGAAAGGAGACAAAGTGGAGTTAAAGAATTATAGGCCTATAACAATGCTTAACACCGATCTGAAGATTTTATCAAAAGTTTTAGCTAACAGATTAAAAGAAGTGATGCCCAGTATAATCGAAACAAACCAAGCATACAGTATTAAAGGAAGAGACATTGCGGATACAACAATGAGCATAAAAGATACGATACGATATATTACTGAAAAGAAGAAAGATGGTTTTATAATCAGTTTGGACTTTGAGAAGGCTTTTGACAGGGTAGAGCATGATTTTTTATTTGGGGTTCTAAAGAGTTTTGGTTTTGGAGGGAATTTTATTAAATGGGTTAAGATTTTATATAAAGGTGCTTTAACGAGAGTAAAATGTAATGGGTTTTTAACAGAGTGTTTTAAATTAACGAGATCAATTAGACAGGGTTGCCCGTTGTCGGCACTTTTATATGCTTTAGTTGCAGAACCACTGGGATTAACGGTAAAACAGGAGGGGAGAATAAAAGGGATAGGCATAGAGGGAGGGGAGAATAAAATATTTCAATACGCTGATGATACTACGCTAATGCTTCAAGATCTGGCGAGTGTAGGGGAAGCAATGAAAATAGTACAAAACTTTTGCAGGGGATCAGGGGCTAAAGTGAATGAGGATAAAACGGTATACATGAGATTTGGGGGAACTGAAGTTTTAACTGGGTTTAAGGAAATTAAGGAAATGAATGAAATAAAGATTTTAGGTGTTTTAATGGGGAAGGATGAAACGAAAGCTATGTGGGAGGAGTGGGAGGAGATTTTAGGAGGGATCGAGAGAAGGTTGAATTTTTGGAGATTAATGTCCTTAACTTTGAAGGGGAGGGTTTTAATTGTGAATGTTTTAATGGTTTCTAAGTTATGGCATATTTTATATGTGGCATCAATGCCGTTGTGGACAGAAAAAAGGCTGAAAAAATGTTTTTTAGATTTTTTATGGGACGGGAAGCCGCCGAGAATAACACTTAACACTTTAATAGGAGCAGTGGGGAAGGGGGGACTAGGGCTAATGGATGTGGAGCAAAGAGTTTAAGAGTCAAGAGTCAAAATGATAAGCAAATATCTGGACGAAGGAAACAAGGCAGCATGGAAAAGAACAATGGAATATTTTTTAAGTAAATGTGGTCATTTTAATCTGGGGGATAACGTTTTATGGATGAGAGTGAAAAAATGTATGACAGAGGGGTTGCCAGATTTTTATAAAGAATTGATGGGTGCGTGGGGGAAATTTTTAACGTGTGTGCATTTTAATACACAAGGAAGAGAGAACATTTTAAACCAGCCTTTATTTTTAAACAGCGGCATTCTTTATGAAGGGAAAGAGGTCTTTTTTAGGAAATGGTGGGAGGTGGGAATCACAAGGGTAAGGGATGTTTTATATGAATTCAAAGAAGGATTTTTACCAGTAGAGTGCGTTGTTGACATGATGGAGGAGGCAAAGGATGATTTTAACTGACAGGAACTGATAAATAAATATGACATATTAAAAAGGCAATACCTGGAGAATGGATAAAGAGAGTGGAAAATATGGAAGAGGCCAAACAAGAGAAAGATGTGTATGTAAGACTGGGGGAAAAACTGTGTGCTTTTAAAGAATGTACTGTGAAAATGTTTTATTGTTTTTTTAGAGATGTGGTTTTTAAGAAACCTGTTGTAAACGAATACTGGCAACGGATTTTCAATGATGTAAAAGAAGAGAATATATGGGGGAACATAAATGGAAAAATTGTACAGACGAAACTGGAGAATTTGGAGTATTTTATCAGGAACAAAGCAGTGTTCACAGATGTGATTTTAAACAAAATTGGGATGGAGGAAAGTGCCACATGTAAAGTATGCCAGGATGCAGATGAAGGGTTTTTACACTTGTCTTTATATTGTAATGAGCTGATCAATTTTAATGAGAGATGTAAAAGCATGATTTTAATTTTGAGAGGAGAGGGAAATGGGAACTTTGAGTGGGAAAATATGTTAATGTTAGGCATTAATGAGAAATGTAAAAATAAAAAGCTCATTAATTTACTTGTGATGTTGATGAAAAGTGCAGTATGGGAAAGAAGGGTGGTGGTAAAAAAGGAAAATATTTTAATTGATGTGTGGAATGTGTTTAAGAAAAAAGTTGAGAAATATGTTGAATGTCTGTTTTATTATTTTAAGTTGGAGGAAATGATGGATGTTTTTTATTATGTTTTTACTCAGGAGGTTTTAACGGTTTTAAATGACTTGGGGATGGAATTATCATTTTTAAAAGATTAAACCATTTAATGACTCTTTTTTTAAATATTATTTTAAGTTGGAGGAAATGATGGATGTTTTTTATTATGTTTTTACTCAGGAGGTTTTAACGGTTTTAAATGACTTGGGGATGGAATTGTCATTTTTAAAAGATTAAACCAATTAATGACTCCTTTTTTAAATGTTTGTAAGTAAGATGTCTGTAAACTCTTAATTTTAGGAGTTTTTATGTCAAAGAAAGCATCTTATGCATTTTATTATGTTAAATAATTGATATGTCTGTTCGAATTGATACATTTCTTCAATAAAAAAAAGGGTATGATTCTCGCTTAGGGTGCGAGAGGTCCTGGTTTCAAATCCCGGACGAGCCGACTTTGGAGTCTCTTTTTTGAGCAATTTCCGTAAATAAAGCACGAAATGCCTGGGGGGAGCTCCAGAATCATGCACGTGGTGGCTCGTTCTTCTAAGGTTATGATTCTCGCTTAAAAAAAAAAAAAAAGGGTATGATTCTCGCTTAGGGTGCGAGAGGTCCCGGGTTCAAATCCCGGACGAGCCCACTTTGGAGTCTCTTTTTTGAGCAATATCCGTAAATCAAGCATGGTGAATAAATGCCTGGGGGGGACTCCAGAATCATGCACGTGGTGGCTCGTTCTTCTAAGGTTATGATTCTCGCTTAGGGTGCGAGAAATCCCAGGTTCAAATCCTGGCTGAGCCCACCTCTGCCTTTGGTGCCTCTTTTCTTGAGCTCGTTGGGTTAGAGTGATTGCACTGAAATGAGGTGTCGTTTCTGAGATGGCTCAGATGGGCTGCGCTGCAGGGTAGTCTGCAGTTGACACGAGCCTTGTGTCCTTTGCCTTGCCATTTTTCTCAATATTGGTTTGGGAAGGCAGCCCAAGCCAGTGGAGGTATAGCAGAAAGGAGTTTCTTAGAAAGCTTCACATCCCTGTGAGCCTTCATTTTGCATTTGCTAGTTGTGGGAACATCTGATGGCTCGTTGGTCTAGGGGTATGATTCTCACTTAGGGTGCGAGAGGTTCTGGGTTCAAATCCCACACGAGCCCGCTTCAGAGTCTCTTTTTTGAGCAATATCCTTAAATCAAGCACGGTGAAATCCGCCTTGAAAGCCACCTTCTGAGTCATTACTACACTGCAAACAGAAGGGCAGAAGCCCCTGCTGCTACTTGGTTCCATGGTGTAATGCTTAGCACTCTGGACTCTGAATCCAGCGATCCGAGTTCAAATCTTGGTGGAACTTTCCTGATTTTGATTGGCAGTGCTTGGCAAAGAGAAGTTTATGTCACAACCTTCTCTGTGGCAGCGTGTCTTGAAAGGGAGTGCTACAGTGGCCAGTATTGGTTTGGGAAGGCAGCCCAAGCCAGTGGAGTTACGGCAGAAATTAGTTTCTCGGAAAGCTTCACATCTCTGTGAGCCTTCATTTTGCATTTGCTAGTAACGGGAGCGTCCGATGCCTCGTTGGTCTAGGGGTATTATTCTCGCTTTGGGTGTGAGAGGTCCTGAGTTCAGATCTCGGATGAGCCCACCTGCAGCTTTTAAACCGCTGTTTTTGAGGAGCGGCTGTCGTCCTGCTTTCTTTGGTTCAATTGCATGACAGTGTTAGGTACTTGTCTTTCAACGTCGATGTCTTGTCCTTCTACTTGGTCTCTTACCTACTGCTCGTGTTGCGTTGAGTGGGTGCGTGAGTGGCAGTGTGTCTTGAAAGGGAGTGCTACAGTGGACTCCTTTAACTGTGCATCTGTGATGAATCTGACAAGGTGAGTGTGCCCAAAGAATCTAGAACACACATTAAACTGAACAGGAACAATGTTTAACCCTTTGGGGTCGACTAACGCGGATACGCGTTTTATGGCAAATGTCCAGTCTTTCACGTCTCCCTTCATTATATCTAATGCGACCACTCCCACGCGCTGAGCGCGCTACAGATATTATAATCATCCACGTGAAGCATGTGGCGTGTAAACGCTCACATCACAGCAAACAAAGCAGCAAGACCTCAAGTTTTTTTAATTTTACTGTTCGCGTCGAGCTGAGAGGAATAAGACAGAATTCACCTCAAGAAGCTTTGGATTACCTCAGGAAAAAAACAATGCAGCGGCTTGATCCAGCAGTGATCATAAACATGAGTAAGTCTTTTTTATTAACCTACTTGTATTAGTTTTCACATAACTTGTACACATTTTACTAGTTAGACTTTCTCCAAACTATAATTCCTGACTAAATGTATAATCAAGTGAAACATTATGAAGTTTCATTCACAGCATCTAAATGTCACGATGCCAGGATGTTTTTTTTATGTTCTATAACAGACAGAAATACGATATAAAAGTAATATGAGTTATAATGTTACTAGCCTAATGTCAGTAAGAATGATTAGTCAAAACTTTACTGTGATAGGATATTCTCTGTTCACGAATATAGCCATATATGTTTATAACTATAGTTTTTGGATTGTATAGGCCGACATACAAAGCATGCTTGTGTTTATGAATGTAACTAAGCTTCTGTTCATGAATATCTGCTCTGGTGTAAATATTTTGAATGTGTTATACCCGTGTCTTATGGAGTAATGACGCTGAAATGTTTGAAACAGTTTTAATTTTCATTTGGTACTGTGGCTGCATCACCGGCATCTTGCACAAGAAAGGCATACGCACGTCGTTCAGTTTTGAGTAAATGATGTGATAGTTATATATATTCTAAATAAACTACAAACAAAAAATAGATACATTTCTTTTTCCTCATTCTTCCTTGTAGCAATTCCCTCAGTCACACACCTGACTGAAAGGCTCATTTTGCAGCTCATTATGCAGGCCTTTGTCTTCTCAGGTGTGAATCACATCATTATCCATGACCATTCACGCCCCCTCGCATATTCATTTTCTACACAAAATGTGTCTTAGAAAATTTACATCAATATATTGTTTTCTGTGAGTGAGAAAACAAGATGATTTTCACATCATTCTGAAGCAAAAATGCTAGACTTCAAGATCCAGTTCTCAATAGTCTTGTGAACAAATGTTCTGTATGTGTTTTATGGCCTTATTTCAGTGACTTTAAAATTGTAGTTTTTCACTAAGCACACATAAAAGTTGTTTTCTCAAAGACACAATCACATACATACATGCTGCCCACATATTATTGTAGCCCAGTTTGTGCTGATTATGGTGCTACTAAACTTAGCCATTAAAATGTTTATTATCAACTGAAAAAAGCACAAATGTTAGGACATGTCAAAACTTCTCCAGGGCCCAAAACACCCGCGGACCCCAGAGGGTTAACTAAATTTAGCAGACTGCTGTCACCGTTACCTTCTGTGAAGAAGCATTACAGACCTCAGACCGTTTTTCTTCAGCGAAAACAGCATGATGTGTGTGGCAGTGCCGCAATGTAGCCTTCTGCCATTTATTTCAGCTCATGTATTTTGTTGTTGACATTTTAATATAGATTATACTGCGAAGGCAGGCCAAGCTAGTGCAGGTACTGCAAAATCGAGTTTCTCAGAAATCCGCCCAGTTGCAGGAGCCCTCTTTCTGCACTTGCCAGCTACACAGGCAGGATGTCTGAGCGACTGAAGCATCGAGCACGATGAAATATGTGGCCAGGCGGCCTCCATTGCAGAAGTCCCAGTGGCTTGTTGGATGTGAGGGGTCCAGAGTGATTTTGCTAGCCCTTTTGCTCACTATGGATGAGTACTGTTCTTGAAGAGAAGGGAGGGTTGTACCAATTCTTCGCTCAGCAGTCCGGTCTACCCTCTGTAGTCTTCTAAGGTCAGATTTGATAGCTGAGCTGAACCAAACAGTTAAGAAGTGCAGAGGATGGATTCAATGATAGCAGAGTAGAACTGTTTCAGTAGCTCCTGTGGCAGGTTGAACTTCCTCAGCTGGCGAAGGAAGTACAACCTCTGCTGGGCCTTTTTCACAATGGAGTCAATGTGAGTGTCCCACTTTAGGTCCTGAGAGATAGTGGTGCCCAGGAACCTGAATGACTCCACTGCAGTCACAGAACTGTTCATGATGGTGAGGGGGGGGAGAGCAGGGGGGCTTCTCCTGAAGTCCACGATCATCTCCACTGTTTTGAGCGTGTTGAGCTCCAGATTGTTGAGACTGCACCAGACGGGCATGGAGAGCTGAGTTAGTTTGGGCAGGAGGAGGTTTGGGATGATAGTGTTAACGGCCGAGCTGAAATCCACAAAAAGGATCCTCACATAAGTCCCTGGTCTGTCTAGATGTTGCAGAACATATAGCAGTCCCATGTTGACTGCATCGTCCACAGACCTGTTTCAGGTGCAGGTGTGGGGGAGAGGGGGGTTGCAGGAGATGTGAATGGTGTGAATGGTTGTGTGGAGAGGTGTTCAGGCTGGGTGTGGGGTGTTTTTTTCAAACCTGCACTAGAACTCATTCAGATCGTCTGCCAGTTGTTGATTCTCCACAGTGCTGGGGGATGGTGTCTTGTAGTTGGTGATCTCTTTCAGACTTTTCAACACTGATGTTGAGTCACTGGAAGTGAACTGAGTCCTTAGTTTTTCAGAATAATTCCTCTTTGCCACTCTGATCTCCTTTTCCAGTGTGTATTTGGCGTGTTATTACAAGACATTGTCCCCCTTCCAGTAAGCATCTTCTTTGGACTGACGGAGCTCTCTGAGTTTTGCAGTGAACCATGCAGTGAACCATGCATTTCAACATCGACGTCTTGTCCTTCTACTTGGTCTCTTGCCTACTGCTCGCATTGCATTGAGTGGGTCACTCAGTCGGTTACAGACTTTCACACTGATGCCAAAATAGCTCAGTTGGGACAGCGTTAGACTGAAGATCTAAAGGTCTCTGGTTCGGTTTCGGCAGAGAGGAGCAGGGAGTGCTTTTTGGACACCATTCTGATGCCCGCGGGTCAGTTGCTTTCCTCAGCGCCTCCTTCTGAGTCATTACCACATTGCAAATGGAAGGGCAGTCGCCCCATCTGCTGCTTGGTTCCATGGTGTAACGGTTAACACTCTGGACTTTGAGTCCAGTGATCTGAGTTCAAATCTCGGTGGAAACTGCCAGATTTTGATTGGCAGTGCTTGGCAAAGAGGAGCTTATGTCTAAACCTTCTGTGTGGCAGCATGTCTTCAAAGGGAGTGCTACAGTGGCCTCCTTTACCCGTGCAAATGTGATGAATCTGACATGGTGAGTGTTCCCAAAGAATCTAGAACACACAATAAACTGAACAGAAACAACGTAGAACTAAATTTAGCAGACTGGTGTCACCGTTACCTTCTGTGAAGAAGCATTACAGACCTCAGACAGTTTTTCTTCAGTGACGACAGCATGATGTGTGTGGCAGTGCCGCAATGTGTAGGGTTATGATTCTCGCTTTGGTTGTGAGAGGTCCCAGGTTCAAATCCTGGACGAGCCCACCTCTGTCTTTGGTGCCTCTTTTCTTGAGCAGTATCCATCCTTGCTGACTTCTCTCGGCCAATCGCAAGCCGCCGTTAAGTAAGACAAGTGCTGCTTCTGCGCATATTCAGCCCGCATCTCGCTGTTCTTCTTTGTTCCACGTCTGCAATTTAAACTTGGTCGACCACTTAGCTCATTGGCTTAGAGCACTTGCACTGAAATGAGGTGTTGTTTCTGAGATGGCTCAAATGGGTTACGCTGCAGGGTAGCCGTCTGCAGTTGACTCGAGCCTCGTGTCCTTTACCTTGCCATTTTTCTCAGTATTGGTTTGGGAAGGCAGCCCAAGCCAGTGGAGGTACGGCAGAAAGCAGTTTCTCGGAAAGCTTCACATCCCTGTGAGCCTTCATTTAGCATTTGCAAGTAACAGGAGCATCTCATGGCTCGTTGGTCTAGGAATATGATTCTTGCTTTGGGTGTGAGACGTCCCGGGTTCAGATCCCGGATGAGCCAACCTGCAGCTTTGAAACCGCTGTTTTTGAGGAGCGGCTGTCGTCCTGCTTTCTTTGGCTCAATTGCACGGCAGTGTTAGGTACTTGTCTTTCAACGTCGACGTCTTGTCCTTCTACTTGGTCTCTTAGCTACTGCTCGCGTTGCATACGGTTCTCAATATTGTTTTGGGAAGGCAGCCCAAGCCAGTGGAGGTACGGCAGAAAGGAGTTTCTCGGAAATCTTCACATCCCTGTGAGCCTTTATTTAGCATTTGCTAGTGTGACGGATGTTATTAAGAGTGTACACTCACGATCTAAATTAATCTATTTCACTAATGATCCTTCCTTTCAATTTTCATGTATTTACTTTATATTAGTTGTTCACGAAAACGTGATCATTTAATTTTGTACTTTATTTGTGTCATTTTTGGGAAAAGAGTTTTATATTAATTTTACGTCATTTCTGTTCAGACGCGGTCTGCGTCCTCAGACCGCGTTGAGCACGCTGAGGAGAGGTAGGCAGTTAGTGGTGCTTCTTCAATATAGGCTTGTAAAAGTTACCAGAAGTTTTAAGTACCTAATATGCAAAAATATTATTGTTAAGAGTGTTATACATGTATTGGAAAGTGTTTTATTCGTGGATGGATGGGATTTAACAGTGTTATTACTGAGTACAGCGGTTTGAGTATATGTATGTGCATCAGCAGAACACGGTGATTTTTGCTAATTGATTAACTGGTGTTTAATCTGTCCAGGTGGAAAAAATCACAGAACGAAAACATTTCTCATTGTTGTACTTTCTCTATAATCCATCCAGGTATAGTTTATTGTTCATTTGATGTTCTATTCATGTTGTATCACTTTGTTCAATTCATATATTCATGGTTGATTTAAAATTGGCTGCAGAAGATTATATCAGATATTTGGATAAATGTTTGTAACAATTTATTTTGCACTGTATTTTTGATGTTATTATTGTGATGTTCACTGAGACCGCGTTGAGCACGCTGAGGAGAGGTGGAAAAAATCACAGAACGAAAACATTTCTCATTGTTGTACTCTCTCTCTACTCCATCCAGCATCTGCATGCTCCATGTTAATAAACTCTCCATCAGCAGCAGTTCCCGTGATCCGTCTCTTCATTTATAACACAACGCAGACCATAATAGTGACAGTGTGGGGCCGGTTACAGTGGTAACCGGACCCAGTTACCACTGGTTAAGTGGTAACTGGGTAAGATCAGTGGTAACTGGGTAAAATAAGATTACCACTGGTAAGATCAGCTCGTCTCGGATCTTCGTCCAAGGATCAATGCCGTTTGATCACCGGTGGATGCTGCACTTCAGTCAAGGTTTCGATGAACAGTAACACAAAGTAGTGCATTTTCAAAGAACTGGACACTTTACTACACAATTAGCACTACTACTTTTATTTTTCTTCCTCTAGTTTCCTTAATGATTTTGCTGTGCTGGTACTTAACGAGTTTTGTCATTTGAAAATTTTACTCAAAGTTTGATAACTTTTGCGTTAAAGAGGATGATGGCATATGGTTTTAATGCAGAGAATTTTAATGTTGATGGGGACATGTCAGATTCGAGTTTTGCGAGAGGGAGACTCCTCAGTGATCGTTCATTTACACCTTTTGCAGGGAGGGGTAATGTAGGACGAACGCCTGAATTCTGTTCTACTCGCGTAACTGAACAAACACCTAGTCAGTTAAGGAGTAATCCATTATTAGTCAGCCCAGACTTAAATGATGCAGCATGTTATAACCTCATAACACATATTGCTCAGGAAGTAGGACAGACTATAATTTCTGCTCAAAGTGGGGAAAGGTGTGGGGAAAGAAAAAACAGCAATGCACAGACTCGAAGTTTAGGTGCAGGTCAGTCATTCTCAGAAGCTCCCTCACTTAATTTGACAGGAGTTAAACTGGTCATGCAGTCTGAAGTAAGAGAGCCCCCTGTTTTCCGAGGAGCTGGAACTGATAAGTTCAGTGTGCATGAGTGGGAGGATTTAGAGGACACTTACCTGCGGAAAAGAGGCATACCAGTGTTGGAGCATCATCATGAAATCCTCCTGAGGCTGATGGGTAAAGCCAGAGACATTGTTAGAATAACCCTTCGCAGTAACACTTCCCTAAGACCCTCTGAGAACCCCAGAGTGATATTTGACATTCTTAAACAGCATTTCAGCGAGGTCAGAGTTTCCTCTATGCCTTTAGCTGATTTTTACGGCACAGTACCTGCTGCGGGAGAAAATCCAGTCGAGTACTGGGTCCGTTTAAATAAGGCTGTGGATGTTGCAGAGGAGGCTTTAAATAGGCTTGGGTGACAGATGGATAACCCATGCCAGGAGGCAGCCATGATGTTTGTCAAATACTGCCCGGACCCAACTTTGTTGGCCATTTTCCGCTTGAAAGCACCAGATAAGTGGACAGCGAGTGAAGTACAAGAGCATCTCGACAGATATCAGACTGAGCAAAGGAACAGTTGGCGGTCAAATTTAAGCGTAACATTGCTATGAGGAATGCTACAGCTCATACTCAGTCACCTACAGAGAATGAGATCGCAGCTAGTGGTTTCCCTGTTGTGCCGTCTGATAATCTTAATGCTAGTACTCCATCTCCTCCACAGAATGATGATAATTGCATGAAGACGCTTATCAGTCTACTTGACCGTGCTCTTTCCCAGAATAGTCAAGTGGAGATGAGGTGTCCTCGACCAAGCCAATCACCTATGAGAGCATGTAAGGTATGCCGTTCTCATGAGCATTCAACTTTAGCACACTGTCGACGACAACGATTCTGCCTTGCCTGTTTCCAACCTGGTCACATAAAGAAGAATTGTGCAGATAGTCAACCCAGCACTGGCAACCAGTTTGCACAGCCACCTCAAGGTTCACCGACTTTAAAATAGTCGGCCCACACTTGGAGAGGGGACGTGTGGGTAGAGTGAAACAAACCCTCGAAAATGCGGATATTAAGCAAGTTTATGAAAGTGCGTGTGCGCAAGCTCCAGCTGAAATTAAAGTGATCGCACAGAATACACAAACTCTTGAAGTGTTTGATGAGTTGTTTTATGCACCTGTATATGTGAATGACAGATTCCAGATGAAGGGAATGTTGGACTCAGGATCTATGACATGCACTTTCAGTGAAGCAGTAGAGAGTAGAATGCTCAGTGAAGATGTGTTGCCAAAGCCCACACCATTGACACAAGAAATAATGTTAATAGGATGTGGAGGTAAAACAACCAAGCCAAAATGCATGTATGAAGTTGAGCTCAAAGTGTATGGTGAGAGATGTTTGGTGCCTGTTCTAGTTGTACCAGGACAAAGGGATGATTTAATCATCGCTACCAATGTGATGAAGTTCCTCATGTACCGAATGAAGATCAGTGATGATTACTGGAGGATTCTGTGTAACAGTGTTTCAGAGCCACCTACATCATGTGAACAATTCTTGGATGTCATGGCGAATACTTGCCGCTGGAGAGGTGGAGATTCACCAGACAAGGTTGGGACTGTTAAGCTTCAGCAGTCAGTTACTCTAATGGCCAAACAAGAACACCTTGTCTGGGGAAGGCTGCCGAGTAATACTGCCATGTCACCAGGGAGCACTGTAATCGTGGAGGCCACTTCTTCCAGAACCATGCCACGGGACATCATCATAGGCTGTGTTGTTATGCCTCTGTGGGGAGATCGTTGGGTTCCTTTAAAATTACCAACCTTTCAGACAAGCCGGTCACCCTCAAAAGCAACCGTAAGTTAGCTGATGTGTTCCCGTGCCTTGCTGTGGAAGATTGTAAGCTGTTGCAGGGTTTCAGTCATGCTCATGTGCCCGCATCCGAGGCAATTTCCCGACTTTGTGTCACAGGTGATCTTAAACAGAGACTTAGGGCCGTAAGCCTCAGTGACATTGATATCGACTCATGTTCTGCCAGTGATACAGCAAAGGAAAGGCTCGTCCAGTTGCTTGAGAACTACAATGATGTATTCTCCAAACATGCTCTGGATTGTGGGGAGCTCAGAGGTTTTGTTCACCGCATCCACTTAACTGATGAGCGTCCTTTCCGACTTCCGTACCGTCGTGTACCACCTGCTCACTATCAAAAATTACGCCAAGTTCTCTCAGAAATGGAAGAGCAAGGAAAAATCCGTAAATCAGTGAGCGAGTATGCTTCGCCTTTGGTTTTAGTATGGAAGAAAGACGGCAGCTTAAGGATCTGTACGGACTTCAGATGGCTGAACGCCAGGACCATTAAGGATGCGCACCCGCTCCCACACCAATCGGACTCTCTCGTTGCCTTGGGTGGAAATACTCTCTTCAGTACTATGGATTTAACATAAGGCTTTTATAACATCCCCATGGCTGAAGAAGATAAAAAGTACACAGCGTTTACGACTCCAGTAGGTCTCCATGAGTACAATAGGATGCCTCAAGGCTTGTGTAATTGCCCAGCATCTTTTATGCGTATGATGTTAAGTATCTTCGGGGACCTGAATTTTAGCAGTCTGCTGTGTTACTTAGATGACCTACTGGTGTTTGCGCCTGATGAGATTGCAGCTCTGGAGCGGTTGGAGATAGTATTCCAACGATTAAGGAGCCACAATCTCAAATTAAGTCCAAAAAAGTGCCATCTGATGCAAGCGTCCGTTAAGTTTTTAGGCCACATTATCGATGGGAATGGTGTTTCCGTTGATCCTTCAAAGGTTGAAGCCATAGCAAAACTGTCAAACGCTGACCTCATGGAAGATGTGTGCACTTCATCTGTATGGAGGATTAAGTCTGTTTTGGGAATGATCCTCTACTACCAGCACTTTATCCTTAATTGCTCCTCCATTGCCTAACCACTCTTCTCCCTAACTGCTGGGCAGAAAAGGAGGACAAAGGTCAAAACTGAGGCTAAGGCAGGCACGTACAGAAAGCAGAAGCCAACTGACTGGACCCCAGAGTGTGATGGTGCCCTTTCTAAACTGAAAGAGAGCTTGCTGCAGAGTGTGGTCCTGGCACATCCCGATTTTTCTCTTCCATTAATTTTGTCAATTGATGCTTCTCTTGAAGGTCTTGGTGCTGTTGTTATCGCGGATACCAGCAGGCGAGGAAAAGGTGCGCTCTATTGCATTTGCAAGCAAGTCCTTAAGTAACTCTCAGAAGAGATATCCAGCACACAAGCTCGAGTTTTTAGCCTTAAAGTGGAGTGTGTGTGAAAAATTCAGTCACTGGCTAAAGGGCCACACGTTCACTGTATGGACAGACAATAACCCACTCACTTATATACTAACAAAGGCTAAACTCGATGCTTGTGAACAGCGCTGGGTGTCTAAGCTTGCTGCTTATACTTTTGATCTTAAGCATATTGCTGGAAGTAAGAACAATGTAGCTGACGCGTTGAGCCGTGATCCTTTCGCAAAAACAGTCAGTCACAGGCTCATCACCGAGCGATATGGCAGTCTACTCACTGAGGCTGAAAGGGTTGATAAAGATGGAGTTCAGAACACTTTTCGTTTACAAGTGAACAGCCTTCATGTATCGTCTCAGTCAAGCCCAGTGTACTGTGATCACAAAACAGTCAGAACTCTTTTGAACCTCCACAATCAGTGGGAGACTGTGACAGAGCTAAGGGCCATGCAGGCAATCCAGTCCATTCAGAATGCAGCAATGCCTGGACATTACACAATTTCAGCAATCCCCCTCAAGGAGATCCGACAGGGCCAATGATCAGATCCAGCAATCTCAAGAATTATACCCTTTCTGAGTCAGAATAAAAGACCGTCAAGGCGAGAGGTGGCTGGAATGGATACCAGTGCTCTAGATCTTCTTAAGCAATGGGATCGGCTGAAGGTTCAAGATGGAGTAGTCTATCGTGTCTCCAAAGATCCTTTAAGCAATCATAAGAGGTTCCAACTTGTACTTCCTTCTAGTTTCAGGGCTAAAGCCTTAAGTGGTGTGCACGATCTCGCTGGACATCAAGGACAGTCAAGAACTCTCCGGCTAACTCGACAACGCTTTTTCTGGCCTAGAATGGAGCGTGACATAAGGGAGTATGTCAAGTGTTGTCAGAGATGTATATTGGCCAAAACACCAGAGCCATCTGCTCGATCCCCACTTGAGAACATCAGGACTTCAGCACCTATGGAGTTAGTGTGTTTGGATTTTTGGAGTGCGCGGTTCAATCGGACCCTGGGCAGTATGCTTCGTTCTCTGCCTCTCAAGGAGAAACACAAGTGGCCCGAGCAGATACAGACTTTTACATTTGCATATAACGCCACAGTACACGAGACCACGGGTTACGCCGCATTCCAGTTAATGTTTGGTCACATTCCGAAGCTACCTGTCGATGTCGTTTTTGGGCAGGTGTTGCATGACCCTGTGATTGTTGACCATGGCAGTTATGCGAAAACACTTATGTCTTGCCTCCATGAAGCAGCACACATTGCCCAGAAACACACAGAGAAAGAACAGAAAAAGCAAGCTAAGGGTTATAATCGGAAGGTCAAGGGCACATGTTTGAACATCGGAGACAGAGCGCTCCTTGCAAACAAAAGTGAAAGAGGAAAGAAAAAGCTTGCCGATAAGTGGGATTCAAGTGTCTATACTGTAAAGGATTGAAACCTTCAAACAAACATATACAAACTGATTGACAAGGATGGCAAATCAAAAGTGGTGCATCGAAATTTAATTCTGGACATCAGCTTTCTACCGATTGAACCACTTCAAGATGACAAGGACATCCAGTCTAATGCTGAGAATATGGAGACGGAGTCTTGCATGTCTGAGTTGTCTGATTTATCGGAAGAGGGGAGTTCTGAAGATAGAACGAAGGCATGGGTGCTTGATGGACAAGACGAAGTTGAAGGTCAAGAACCTGTGAGTGATGATAATTTGGAATCTGATCATTCAATCCAAAGTTGAAGAAGTGTCTGTGAACAAGATCCCAGTGAAAATGAGGCCATTGGGGGTTATTTTGATGAAGTTTCTGGCATAGAGACTGAATCTCCTGATAATAGCCCTAACCCACAAACACAAACTGTGAATGACTCTCATGCTAACAGTATCACTGACACACAAGCACAAATTCCCACTGACACACAGGGTGTTAGGACCCGTGCGGGAAGGGTGGTCAAAAAAGTTGAAAAAGACTTGATCAACCTTGGACTTTTCTTAACCTTTCAAGTAGGTAACTTACCATGTTGAACTGCGAATGAGATTCGTGGAAAATCTGGTTCTGTTGGATCGGTTTTTGTCATTTTGGTCAGGATATTAGTGAAATTCAGGAGGGGTGAATGTGACGGATGTTAATAAGAGTGTGCACTCACGATCTAAATTAATGTATTTCACTAATGATCCTTCCTTTCAATTTTCATGTATTTACTTTATATTAGTTGTTCACGAAAACGTGATAATTTAAGTTTGTACTTTATTTGTATCATTTTTGGGAAAAGATTTTTATATTAATTTTATGTCGTGACGTCATTTCTGTTCAGACCGCGTGTGTCAGGGATTACTGTTGAGCACGCTGAGGAGAGGTAGGCAGTTAGTGGTGCTTCTTCAATATAAGCTTGTAAAAGTTACCACTAATTATCCTTCCTTTCAATTTTCATGTATTTACTTTATATTAGTTGTTCACGAAAACGTGATAATTTAATTTTGTACTTTATTTGTGTCATTTTTGGGAAAAGATTTTTATATTAATTTTACGTCGTGACGTCATTTCTGTTCACACCGTGCTGCGTCCTCAGACAGCGTTGAGCACGCTAAGGAGAGGTAGGCAGTTAGTGGTGCTTCTTCAATATAAGCTTGTAAAAGTTACCAGAAGTTTTATTAAGTACCTACTATGCAAAAATATTACTGTTAAGAGTGTTATACATGTATTGGAAAGTGTTTTATTCATGGATGGATGGGATTTAACAGTGTTATTACTGAGTACAGCGGTTTGAGTATATGTATGTGCATCAGCAGAATATGGTGATTTTTGCTAATTGATTAACTGGTGTTTAATCTGTCCAGGTGGAAAAAATCACAGAACGAAAACATTTCTCATTGTTGTACTCTCTCTCTACTCCATCCAGGTATAGTTTATTGTTCATTTGATTTTCTATTCATGTTCTATTCATGTTGTTCAATTCATCAATTCTAATTCATGGTTGATTTAAAATTGGCTGCAGAAGATTATATCAGATATTTGGATAAATGTTTGTAACAATTTATTTTGCACTGTATTTTTGATGTTATCATTGTGATGTTCACCGCGTTGAGCACGTTGAGGAGAGGTGGAAAAAATCACAGAACGAAAACATTTCTCATTGTTGCACTCTCTCTCTACTCCATCCAGCATCTGCATGCTCCATGTTAATAAACCCTCCATCAGCAGCAGTTCCCGTGATCCGTCTCTTCATTTATAACACAACGCAGACCGCAACAGTGACAGTGTGGGGCCGGTTACACTAATAACGGGAGCATCTGATGGCTCGTTGTTCTAGGGGTATGATTCTCACTTTGGGAGTGAGATATCACTGGTTCAAATCCCGGATGAGCCCTGCTGCAGCTTTGAAACCGGTGTTTTGCGGAGCGGCTGTCGTCCTGCTTTCTTTGGCTCAATTGCACGGCAGTGTTAGGTACTTGTCTTTCAACGTCGATGTCTTGTCCTTCTACTTGGTCTCTTACCTACGGCTCGTGTTGCATTGAGTGGGTCACTCGGGTCGGTTACAGACTATTACATTGAGGCAGAAATAGCTCAGTTGGGAGAGCGTTAGACTCAAGATCTAAAGGTCCGTGGTTAGATCTCAGGTTTCGGCAGAGGGGAGCAGTGAGTGGCTTTTGGACACCCTTCTGATGGTCGTGGGTCAGTTGCTTTTCTCAGCGCCTCCTTCTGAGTCATTACTACACTGCAAACAGAAGGGCAGATGCCCCTGCTGCTGCTGCTGTAGAAGATTTTCAGGGATCTTAATTCAATATAATACATATAATTATGCCTATAGATAAGACATTATTCTACAATTATTATTTAAAGAGACTATGTGTAGTAACTGTGGGTTAAAAGCTGCAGTGAAAGAACTGAGTGAACTATTTAAAACTTGAAGACCCTGCATATATGGAAAGAATCTGTTCAGGACCTAGAAATATACATGACAACTATTGATCATTCTATATATGGTAAGAAACACCTGCCTAAAAATACAACAATACATATATGGAATTATGTAACCAGCTCCAGTCATATATATATCTGTGTAGAAAAGACATTCGGGAGTTACCTTTGCAAACCGTAACTTGGCTTTGTTGTTTGATCAATAAAGTCTACTGGCTTCAAAACCTCTTTAGCAATTTATTGTGAACAAGGAAAATTCTACAACATAATTGGCGACCCCGGCAGGAAAGGAGACAGGGCAAAATAGTGAAAAGCTGCAGCGGGCTCTCTCTGGATAATTGGCACAGACCGTGGCCACGAGGTAAGCATTTTTGCTTATAAAAAATATGTTTGGTTAATTCTCCAGAGATTGCCAGTTGTTGTAAGATTATTCTAAAAAGCTCTTCCAAAGAAATTTTAAGAACCAAAAGAGGAAAAGGGGTTTTGAATCCAGAATTATCTGTAGTCATTAAATGTTGCATGCAGATGGTCTTAGTTTACTGCATAGTTACAGTGGGCGCGCAGAAATAATTTATGGTACCGATTACAGGTGGTTTCATTTTTAGTAAAATTACAGGTGGTTTAGTTATTAGTCAAATTCCATGGTGGTTAGTTTTTAGTAAAATCCATGGTGGTTAGTTTTTAATAAAATTCCATGATGGTTAGTTTTTAGTAAAATTCCATGGTGGTTTAGTTTTTAGTAAAATTCCATGGTGGTTTAGGTTTTAACAAAATCCTGTAATAAATTAATAATTGTTGTGTTGTGTATAGAGACAAAGTCAGCAGACTGAAGCAGAAGATTGACAGGTGTTGATATTTCACACCAGTAAGTGAGACAAGAGAACGATATATGTTGTTTGTGTGTGCGCACTTGTATAAGTGATCTGGTAGCGGAGACAGCGTGAGATCGTAAATATTCTTTCTGTCGGGTGTAGTGAAGTGGTGCTGTCTGACTCTTCACATAGACATATCTTAATAAGAAGGACACATTGCTGGTACACTTGAGAGAAATTAATTATTTATATATTTTAAGACTAATGGATTTGAAAAATAAATGGATAGATAAATAAACAGATAATAATAAGATATATTGACTAAATGTATATATAATTTAAGATATATAATGATATATATATTACATTTAATATATAACTTAATATATAAATAAATACTATGAATGCACAGGCCTAAAACATTATATCTTATATCTGAAGACGTCTAAAAAGTTTTATCTCATTATCCCTGAGAGACAATATGGAAAATGAATCCATTGTAGAGATTTAGAATAGAATAACTTGTGCAATGAGTTGATTAAAAGCAGGATTGAGTGACCAGAAATAAAACAAACTTTAATTCAACAGCTAGCTTAATAAATGAGACTTGTTGATTCAACTGAAGTAGAGGTTGCTTGGGAAAGTTTCATTCACGATTACTAGATTATTTTGAACCCTGCATGTAAATATAGGAGAAAAACTAAGATTGAAGTCTGAAACTATAATAAGCTTGCTCTTTTCTTGCAACGAATAACTGCTTTACTAAAAATAGAATAGAAGAGATGCTGTTGTCAATCAGTGAGATTTTTAGCATTGAGACACCATTGACAAACATGGTTGAACATAAAGAGCAGATTGCTCAAACACACTTGGAATTAGAATGAATAAAAGTTCTCTTGTGCCTTGAAGAATGGAAGAGACGAGAGGAGAAAAAGCAAAGACACGGCAGCACAGAGAAGGAGAGAGAGTGGCTGAAAGGCATTCAGCCCCCCCAACAATGAAAGTTGACACTTCTGAGAAATTGCTAAAGGAACAAGACTGTGAAACTTTCACTTGAGACTTTTCCTGAAAACAAAGAAAGCATCAGGAGATGTAAAATCGTGGTAGGAATCAACAAAAAGCCACATTGAACAGAGGCAGAGAAAAATCAAAGCCAATATTGCAGTTCACATCATCTGGCCTTTGAGGGCCTTTGAGTGACATCACAAGCTGATGACCCAATGCAACAGTCAAAGACTTCAACAGATTGATTGTCCAACAGAAGAACTTCCATACCTTCCTTTGTGGGCACAGGTGCGAGATATCTAATGATGACTCTAGAGAACGCTTCAAATTTGTTATTTATTATATTAACTTACTATATTTGGATTATTCACTGGTCTTACAGCAGATCTTTGCATTCTCTGCTAAACTAACATTCTCTGTCTGCTGTTCCAGTAGCTACCAGTCCAGCCATCTAAATAAAAATAAATGAATAAAAAATAAATAAAAAGAGAAACTTCATTGATAGAAAAAGTGGGTGCTCAACTCACAAATTATTTGAAACTAAGGCTGGATTTAGGATAGTGAGGGTTACATCAAAAGCATGATTTAGGGGAAACACAACTAAACTATTCTGTGGCAAAGAAAAAAGATAGACAAAAGTGTCTAAAGAAAAAATATAACTATGAAACAGTACTATTGGTCACTCCATCTTGGTTAATGATAATTTTCTAGGGCTAGGTTAAATAAAATGAGAAGGAAAACATAATTCCAAAAAGTCCAAAGAAATTAAATCAGAAATGTTCGTCACTGGGGTAATGAGATAGAAATGTTATTGGGCATGGATCCAAGAATTATGCAGAGATCTCAAATTTTCTTTAACTCATGAGTAATAACAAGAAAAAATGACAATTAAAATGACACAAAATGATGCATTTGAGAAATTACAGTTGGCTGTCTCAATTGCACCAGGATTAGGTCAAATATTCTAAAACATTTAAATTGTTAAGGACAACAAAAATGTGTGGAATTCCACTAAATGTGTGGAACACTGCTAAAACTGCATGTTCCCCATTTGGAACAGTATGTAAGAACATGATAGCCTGAGGGAGGTGTGAATGTGTGTGAATGATGGCCAGTGTGTGAATGGAGTAAAATATAGTCTCTGAAGAGACACTAAGGCAAAGCAATAAGTTGCCAAAACAGCTGTTATCCAAATTTTGATAATATCCCAATTTGAATATGTGGGCCCACAGGGCAGATTATGCCCACTAAAATAATGGACATGGGGGAACTTGGATTGTTGTTGTGGCAGGAAGAAAAAATAAATGCCACAGTTGCGCAGCATAATAGCATGGGAAAGCAGATCAAAACAAGTTTAATCTAACTTTCTTTTCAGCATATCAAGATGAAGCTGATTTTTGTCAAAGTATGAAATGTTGATTTGTAACTATTAACTTGGGCAAAAGTGAGCTGAGTGCTTTCCAGATGCCTAAGAAATTATATGTTGATAGTAGATTGGTTGAAAGTGAATAATAATAATAATATTCACATTAAAAAGTGCAAATCATGATAAAAAGCCAAATTATATGAGATAAGATTTAAGCCCTGGTGGTAATGAAAATATGAAAACCCCCTGAAAGGGGCAGTATGCAGCCCACATACACTTTCCACAGGTGACACCACGAAGGACAATGGGCCAAATGAGCAGATGATGGAATGTCGTCACTAACAAAAATAGTTTAAGTCTCATTCACAGGAGACATCAACTCAATTCCAGGAAAGGTTTGCTCCAACAATAAGAACCAGTGAGAATGTGTTGAGATCTCAGAAGAGGACTGTTCATTGATCAGATGAATGGTTGCAGATTGACACTGGAGTCCACAGCTCTCATCTTAAAATATACCAACCAGTTTCTGTAATCCCAAACAACATGAAATGAGAAACCATCCCTTGCCAACAGGGAAAGACCATCACAACAAATCACGGGTGAAGATGAAATGAATGATAAAATAGCTAACAAGATGATCAAGACAAAAGAAACAGATGTGGGCCAACAAATGGAAAAATGGAAAATAAAATAAAAAAATAAAAAATAAATAAAATTGAAGCCGATAGAAAAGACCAAAGACACATGATAAGAAGATGCAGAATCCAGTAACGCTCAGAAAGAGTTGTACAAGAAATTACAGAGAGTAAAGGGAAACAAAGACATTAAAAAAACTAATGGAACTCCAATCCAACATGCCGACCAAATAATTCAGTTAATCTCTGCGATAATGCTACCTAATTGATTAGCAGTTATAAAATGTCAAGCTCATAAAAAAGGTAATGACTATGTAAACAAAGGAAATAATGTAGCAGATTTGGAAACTAAAAAAGCCTCAGGATGAGTAACAGCAATATTAGCTCCAATTGTTTTAATAGAACCACAGCCTCAATTAGATGATAGTATTCGAATACAAGAACAAGCAACTTCATATGAACAGTCTATGTGGCAACAAAGAGGAGCTATAAAAGACACTCAAAATGTTTGCCGTTCTCAGGAACATTCTCA